GTGTGTTTAGTTCCTACAGACTGAAGTTTTTGCAATGCATACATGTGGCTCCACTGACATAAGTGAAAAATCGCCCAGCCAGGCACAGTGGTACATGCCTGTAGTCCCAGCCTGTGTAATTTAGCAACTTAGTGGAACTCTGTCTCAAATAAAGGGGTTGGGAATGTAACTCAGTACCAAGCCCCTGGGTTCAATCCCAAAAACCACAAAAGAGGGAAGGGAGAGAGGGAGAGAAGGAGAGAGGGAGGAAAAAAAAGGTGTGCGAGCCAGTAACCATTCTACCTGCAAGTGAAAAAAAATATACCATGCTAAGGAGCACTGAACCATCTCACAGAGGACCTGGGATCCCTGCAGAAGTGCAAGAACAGCCCAGATGCCCATGTAGGGTGCCTGTGTCTACAAGGTGGGAGAGATATCACGTGCCCCCATGTGTGTCCCCACATGAACAAGAACCAGGGAGAAGGGTAGGGATGGAGAGCAGGCCTTTCCCAAGAACAGCCCAGCCACCCTGGGGAAATGATGCATTTTCTGCTATGATCTTCATCCCTGTAGAAGAGCTGCTCCAGAAACATCTGTCCTGAGCATAGTGGGGCTGAGAGCAGCCAGGGCAGGAGGGGTGGCCTCCTCCAGGAGCCCATCTCCAGTCAGTATGTCTGTATCTTACCAAGCCAGAGGGAGTGTGGCCTTGGGCATGTACGCTCCCACCAGGCCTACATCGGGCCTCCTGCTGCCAGGCAGGTCCCCTCTTCCCTGCAGACCTAACTGTCTCCAAGTGGGCTGGAGCTGGTGTCTGCACACCATGCCCTCTGATCTGCCTGGGCTCTTCTGTACCTTGAGTCCCTGTGGTCTCCTGCCACTCCTTGCCTGAGGCTGCTGCTAGGCCAGAGGTGGCAGATAGGTGTGGAGAGCTAGGAGTTCTACTTCTAGTTCAGTGGCCTTTTCCCAGTCGTCCAGCACTGGCCACGTTCCCTGGCCACGTTCCCTGGCCTCCTGGACCCAAGCCTGCTGCCCAGTTGCAGTCTGCGGCTACCCTGCATGTGCCACAGGCATGCTGTCCTGCCTGACTCTGTCCAGAGGAGCAGGGCCAGCCTGTGGGGTCCAAAGGGTCAGTAGTCATACCTCTGAAGGGTGATCTCAGAGGAAGCCTGTGGCCTGGCCATGGCAAGTTGAGCAGTCCAGGGGAATGTGCGTCACTTTGTCACAGCTGTCCTCAGCCAAGAGGCAGAGAGTCACCCCTGATGCCACAGCCCAGCCATCCCCAAGTCCTGACCACTCCAACAAGCCCAGGCCTGCTCTTCTGTGGGCCCAGATACTTGGTGAGCTTTGGCAGCCACTGTAGCAGGCCCTTCTTCATGGGTAGAAGTGACCGGGCTCTCTGCAGCTATCCCAGATGCTCACCCATGCACACACTTGGTGCAGAGTCCAGCATTGGCCTTTTTTTTTTTTTTTTTTTTTTTTTTTTTTTTTTTGCGGAACCGGGGATTGAACTCAGGCCCTTGCGCTTGCCAGGGAAGCGCTTATTCCACTGAGCCATCTCCCCGACCCCTAGAGTCCAGCATTGGGAGATCAGCTCCCAGCCTGGCTGGTGGCTTTGATCTTCGTGGGTATCTAGGGGCTGGCTGCTGCCCAGACCAAGGCCCCCTACACTCTCCCCACAGCCCAGTCCTGCTATTGCCCAGCCAGCCTGCGCAGAGGGCAAGTCAGGTGAGGTCACTGAAGCTAGGGATGGAGGCATTTTCTGCCTTTGACACACTCAGGTGCTCTTGCCATAGCTTCCCAGCCCAGGCTGTCACATGCTTGCTGCCTGAGAGGTGGGCACGGTGGGTGCGGGAACCCAACCCATGTCCCTCCACCAGAAGCTTCTTCCAGAGGTAGTGTTGGGCAGGGGATGTTGATGCAGACATGGGGGTGCAGGTTATCACTTTGTGAACACCTCAGGCATAGAGTCCCTTGGAGCTTGCAACTTTTAGAGACTCAGGATTGGGGCTATAGGACAAGATCATGTCCACTGTCCACATCAACCATTTGGGTTGTGCTAAGGCTTGGACTATATTCTAGCAGTGGAAGGAAAGTTTGGAAGATATGAAGGTTGGAGTAATATAACTGAATTTATAAGCACTAATAAGAAGGTGTTTCCAAGCTGAGCATGGTGGCACCTGCCTGTGATCCCACAATCCAGGAAGCTGAGGCAAGAGGGTCACTGAATTCAAGACTCGCCTGGGCCACATAGGAGTTTAAGGCCAGCCTGTCTTTCTCAGAAGACTCTGTCTTTCTCAAAAAACCCAAATGAATGAATGAAAGAAAAAACAAAGTGTTTCTTAACATATGTGGTGGCCCAGCTGTTATCCCAGCACCTGTGAGAGACTGAGTCAGGAGGATCACAAGTTAGAATCCAATCTGGGCAATTTAGCAACTTAGTAAGACCCCATCTTAAGGTTTAAAAATGGAAAAAAAAAAAGGGGGGCTGGGAGCATATTTCAATGCAAAGGCCCTGTTTTCAATCCCCAGTACTGCTCATATAAAAAAGAAAAAAAATTTAAAGGCTAGGATGATCTGCCAGAGACCTCCTACTAGAGGAATGCTAAACTTGGGTGTGAATGAGGAGGGTCCGAGTGAACAGGCTGTGTAGGAGGAGAGGCAGAGGAGCCAGAGAGACTGAGAAGACTGGACCAGCTGAGGCCACAGTGAGCTCAGCAGGCCTTTGCTGTTGTTTTTTGCGGAACCGAGGATTGAACTCAGGCCCTTGCGCTTGCCAGGCAAGCACTTATTCTACAGAGCCATCTCCCCGGCCCCCTCAGCAGGCCTTTGGCATGTGTGCCCCAAGCCACAGCTTAAACTGAATCCTGAGATGCCCTGCCCTCCAACCCTGAGGCAGACAACATTGCTGTCAGCCCTTCCTGGAGCCCTCACAGCCCTGGCAGCCTTTACCCAGTGTTACCCAGCTGGCATTCATGCAGCGGCAGGAGGCTTAGGCAATGGCCCTGAGGCCTAGGCATAGCTTGAGGCAGAACCACTGAGGACCAGAAAGCTGGACCCTGGCACGGGCTGTCAGTGAGCAGAGCCCTTAGCATCCTAAAGGGAGACTGTGAGGCAGGCCCGCCTCCACCCAGATGTGATCAGCTCTTTTCCAAGGGACCATAAGATTTCCAGCCCAAAGAAGAGGCAGACACCATCTCATTGCAGACTCATTTAACATGAGAGGCCATGGAGGAGCTACAGCTGAGACCACCAAGTTCTGTCCCACTCCCTTGATCTGGAGACCCACAGCCTTAAGTATCTCCCTAGTCCAGAGACCAAGCAGATGGCAGGAGGCAGTGTGTAGGTCCTGTCATCAGCAAGGTGTGCATCCACATCATCTCCCCAAGGCCTGGGCAGCAGGCAGCACAGGTAGGTGAGCGATGACAGGCCAGCTGGCCAAGGTAGGGTTGGCCCTCACACCAGCACCAGGTGGGCACCCCTGGGCATGGGGTCGGCCAACAAACAAGACTAACACATACAACTCTGTTCCTTAAGGCTACTGTGCCCTACAACCTGGCACCTTGGTCCAAGGGTACTACAGGGAAAGGCTGAAAAGGAACCAGAGGCTACAAAGCAGGGTTTTCTCGGTTCCTCAGCCCGTTAGAGCTGTTTGCAGTCTAGCTATGCTGGGCCTGCTCTGGAGAAGGTGTGAGTTAGCTCAGCTCTGGGGGCTGCTTAGAAGCTACCTGCCTGGCTTTGGTCTTCCCTGCCCCTTTTTGTCCCAGATGGGTAGCATAAGACCTTTCCTTCAGCATCAGCTGGCCCCCAAGAGAGAATCCGGTGGCTCTGGCTGGCGCTTGTCTCTAAACTTACTTTTGCAAATAACCCCAGGCCTCATAGCACAAGGATTAAAGCAGGTAAAGCCCATGGGGTCCTTGTGTCATCCAGAGGATAGCCAGGGCCTTGTGTTTGAGGCAATCCCCAGTGTGGTGACACCAGGACCTGGTCAAAGAAGAGCCCAGTCTTAGGACACCCTGACCAGAGGGCAGTGCAGGGCAAAGGACTGCCTGGAGCAGTGTACAGGGACATCCAAGTCCCCCCTCCCCCCACCTACTCTAGCAGGTGCCTGAGGCTAAGGAGCACAGGGTCTGAGTGTGACCCTGACTAGCCTGCAGGACAGCAAAGCAGCAGCAGCCCAGGGTGGGAAGAGAGGTGCAAGCTGGGTGTTGTCCCAGAGCATGAAGCCAAAGACCCAATGGGCTCTTTCTATCCTGGGCCAGACTTCATACCTATGCATGGGTCTGGACAGCTTGGGGCTGGATGGCTGCTGCTGACTACTGCCCAGGTTGGCCCCCTGTCCAGTGCTCATCTTGGCCACCCTCAGCACTTCCCAGGGCCTCCAGATCCTTCTGTGGGCAGCAGTACCAGTCTGGGAGGAAAGGCAGACTCTATACATAGAGACTGGACAGACCACACGTCATCTTCAAGTGCGCCTTGTGTGTGACAGCTGAGAAGAGGCTCAAAGGCCCCCTCAGGCCAATTCTAAACTATACCTTCCCATGGATTGGTTGATTGATCAACTGATTTTTGCCACTGAGGGTTGAAGCCAAGGCCTTCTTTCTCCCAGTGAAGGGAAGAGCTAAATTCCCAGCCATTTAGTTTTTTTGTTTTGAGACAGGCTCTCTCCCAAGGTATAGGTTGCTCAGACTGGGTTGGAACTTGCTATCCTCCTGCCTCAGCTGCCTTTTGTCAGGTCCACGGGAGGCAGCAGTCAAGGCAGTTTCAGAGCCAGAGGTCCAAGTGTCCAGGAGAGGTGTGGGGCATCTGTGGACCTTACATCCACACAGATGGATTGTGCCCAGCCCTGGCCAGGATCCTAACACAGAAGCTGCCCTCGAGCAAGGCCGGGCAGTAGCTTCCATGAAGAAAGCAAGCAAGTGGTCCTGGTCTGAGCCATCCACACCTAGGACCCCAGCTTTGTGGGCCCATGACCACCCCTTTCTGCACTCCTGACAGTGTTCTGTCTGTCCTTTTTCCTGCAGAGTCCCTAGCACCTGCAACAGCCCACAGACACCCGGAAGCTGATAGGATCCCTATTAGGATGCCATTTCAGGAGAGCTTGGCTATTGAGGGCATGAAGATGGCGGCACAGTCAAGAACCAGACCCACCAGATCCTCCACTTCTCATTCTGTAAGACCTAAAAGCTGTCAGCCACGCCCCCGGATCCGCAACTACAACATGAAGGACTGACTTCTTTGGCCCCCAGACATAGTGGATCCACGAGGGCCAGGAGTTGGTATTGCGCTTTTCCTTCCACTTCAAGGATGGGTGCACACAGAGCATGCAGGGGGCATCAGGAGCTGAAAAGGAGGTTCCCAGATGCTGCTGAGATGGCCTCCTCAGAGGACCACAGAGCTATTAAAACCTCTCTGTCACATCTGCTGGGTACATTGTCTATTTCTCTTGCTTGGGAATGCCATCTCAGGTCTGCATGCCAGATTTTGGTCTGGCCTCTGTCACCTGCCTGTGTCACTGCCCACAGCCACCCATACACTGACTGGGTCATGACAGTGGCCTTCCCCAGAGCCCGGTGACATGGAGAGAAGAATGCCCCCCCACCTGCAAAGTGTGTCTTACACAGTGCCTTATGAAGGACCTCACTGAGAACCAGGCCTCCAGGTGGCTGTGCCCAGGTGCATTTGGCATGTTTGGGTGTTCACTAAGTACTGTAGATGGAAGTCACCCAGGAAAGGTCATCATAGGGCCTTCCATGCTTGTCCCCCATGAAGGACAACAGTAAAACATTTTACCATCTGGGTTCCCAGGGCAACTGCTGGGATGAAACACATGGGCACACTATCACTTCAAGTGTCACAGGAAACGCACTGACACTGCCCTACTAGAAAACTACATCATGATGCTCAGCCTGCCCCACTCCACACTCCCACAGATGTACCCCATTGGCCGTGAGGATGCTGTCAGGGGCCTGTCAACGCTTCCTCTCCCCAGAGCCCTTGCTTGGTCTTTTCTTCCCCAACATGCAGGGCCCAGGAAGGGTTTTCATCTCAACCTAAGTGCCCTCCCTCCAGTAGCATTTCCTCTTTCTGATCCAGCAGACAGCTGCTCTGGGAGCACCATGGGGTGGGGGCTGCCCCAGACCCTAACCTGTAATCCAGGTAAAATATGGATGGTGACATCTGTCTGCCAGCTCACAGCTGTGTGAGCCAGGCAGCTGTCACTGGAAGACCCCACACCAGCAGCAGGGCCTGATGCAAGCTGAGAAATCACAGGCCTGGGTCTCATTACTATGTAAATCTCTCTTGCACTCTTGCACCACCCTGTGTGTCCCTATAAATGGTTTCATCCATTTATTCCAGGTGAATATACAAAGGGCTACCACAGTCTCCTTAACTTGCTCCACCTGAGCACACAGACAATGGCAGGCCCTCCTGATGCTCTTGGAAGCAAGATGCTGCCCTCTTAGATGCCTTGCAGGGGCAGGGGGCCCATGCTACCCTTTAGGACATGCGTTCCTGAAATAAGGCCTGGTCATTTACCTCCAGAGGCTAAAAAAGCAACAATGTTCCCCCTGCAGAGCCCCCAACTGAGTTCCAAATGACGATCATTTGGACAGGTCCAGATTCTGGATTCAGCCCAACACCTGACCCGAAGGGTGCAGAGTGCAGAGCCCTTGTCCACCCACTGCCCACCACTGGCAACACCACCGTGAGAAGCACTTAGGGGTCTGGAATGCCTGACAAACCCGAAGAGACCCATGGGAAAAGGTCAGCCAGACAGTGTGGCATGGCCCTGGGACACTGGGTGGCTGCAGCAGGAAACAAAGTCAGCCAAAATGGCTATGTCTCTCAGGTCTGCTCAATTCTTGAGAAAAGGCTCTTCCGACGTGATCGGGGCCTGCAGGTGGGAAGCCAAGGACCACAGGACACCTTTTTGAGCTCTCTGGTGAGCCCCAATACTAGGGCCCATCTGGTTCTTTGGGTTGCCAGTTTTGTTTTGGATTTTTCCCTGAAAGTTAAGTAACCCTTTGAGCATAGCAATTAGGAAGAGTGGGCGCTGGAAGCTCGGGGCCTCCCTAGGAGGCAGCAGCTGCTTCTTTGTTCTCATTTCCCTGGCCTCTGGTCTGGCGCCCCGCTCCTGCGCCGGCTCTGGGATGCGCGGTCTGCATCCCCAGTTCCCCGGGTGGCCGCACCTAGGAGCACTGGTGGCCGCGCAGCGATGACCGGGAGTAACCCGGCCCTCTGCGCCCTCAGCCAGGGTCAACGACCGAGCTCTACCGCGGCCTGCGCAGCGCCGAGCGGCCTGCCGCCGGCCATCACCCTATCGCCTAGCAACGCCCACTCGCGCGCCGCCATTGGCCCAATGCGTAGAACTCCAAAATTCGATTGGCTACGGCAGAGAAGCAGGCCACGCCTCCAGCTCCGCGCGCACCGCGAAGGCTGAGCGAATGCGGGGACGCGGGCTCGTACCCGAGGCTAGAGCTCGAGTTGTCCCCCCCGCGTGACCCTACATGGTTCCCGCATAGTCCCCAGTGTGGCCCAAGCACTCCCATCTCGCATCACCGGCGTGCAGCGCCCACGTGGCCCGCGAACACGGGGACTTCGGAACTGTACTCTGTGCTCCGGCTCGCGCGGGAACGGAAGCGAACGCGGACGGGGGGCGGCGCGCGCGGGCATCACCCCACGGCGGCGGCGCGCCGGGTCCTGGGGCGCAGCCCCGACGCTCATTGGCCTGGGCGGCGCAGCCAAGCTGTCAGCCCATGTGGCGTGGCCGCGCGGGGATGGCCGCGGTTTAAATAGCGCCAGCGCGGCCTAGAGGGAGCCAGAGAGACGCAGCGGCGCCCCTCGCTCCTCCAGCCGCGCTCCGCTCTCTTCGTCCCCGCCAGCCGCCTGGTCCAGGTACGCGGCGCCGCGGGGCCCCAGGGTCTGGATCCGACCCCGGCTGGAGCGCAAGGGCGGGTGACTTTCTTGGGTTCGGCGGGTGGGTGCCGACCTCCGACCCTGCGTCCACAAAGGCTGCGGGCTCTGGGCCCTGCGGTTTCGGCGCCGCCCCCCGATCAGTGCGGGGGGGGGGAGGTGGAGTGGGGGGAGGCCCCGGCACGTGGGCGCCAGGCCGCGGGGGGTGGGGGTGGGCGCCGCGACTTTGCGCCGACCCGCGTGGATATCCGGGGCCTTCCTAGTACAGGGGCTTCACCGCGGGGCACCAGCGCTAGTTGGGGAGGAGCTGGGTGCGGCGCTGGGAGCGCACGAGGCCCTGGGCTCAGCGGAAATGGCTGGGCTGGCCCGGCCTCTCCCCTCGCTCTGGGGCGGCGCAGGATCCTCCACGCAGCATCGCTGCCGCGCGGCCTGAGTTCTCTGGGCCGGTTCAGGACTCTAGGGCAGGTGCCTCGGGGACTTGGGCCCGGAGCCCGCTGCCGTCTCAGCCTGGGCACGGCCTTACCTGAGCGCATCTGGCAAGACCGGTGCCCCAAGTTGCTGGAAGAGTCCTACCGGCCGGGGACACCTTTCCCCTACCTCCGCCAGACTTTGGCACCCCACAGTGCTCAGGCCTGTCGCCTAGGTCCCTTCCTGGCCCAGCATCTAGCCCGGTCTGGGTGGGAGCGACCTCCACCCCCCCAGCACAGGGGACCGCACAGCCCCTCAGTGGCCTGAGGTGGCGCCTCTGCTCTCCCTCAGTGCTGGGACTAGGTGGTCTCTATACCCTGCCTGCTTCTGTGCCTGGGGTGGAGGGCCCAGTAGCAAGAGATTGTAGGGCAGTAGGCACTGTGGGTTCACCTCGGGTCAAGGCCTCAAATGCCAGGCCAGTGCTAAGACCCCAACACCTAGCCCACTCATTGAGAGGTGGGGGCGGGACCCGGAGCTCCTGGCCTCCAATCCCTACCCTCAGGGGAGCCGCACCAGCCGACTTGGGACCTACCCTGAGCCTCTAGCCAGCCCCTAAACACCCTAATTATCGTGCTGGACATGTGAGAGTAGCCACATTATGGGTGCTGAGACTGTGGATAGGGTGTGTTCTGACCACGTGTGGGGCCTGTGCTACCTCCCTGCAGAGAGGAGCCATGGAGGAGGTAGTGATTGCTGGTATGTCCGGGAAGCTGCCCGAGTCAGAAAACTTACATGAGTTTTGGGCCAACCTCATTGGTGGTGTGGACATGGTCACAGATGATGACCGACGATGGAAGGCAGGTGAGTGCTACAGAGGGGCTAAGAGCCAGCTTTGCCCTTTCCCTTGCTAATGACTTGTAGCCTGGTCAACCTTTTGGCTGCATTGTTCCTGCCTATGTCGGGAGCCAACAGTCAGGCAACTAGGTGCTCAGAGACGATGGTTTGACTCTTTCATGCCCCATAGAGCAGCTCTACCTGATAGACAAGTGTGTGAGTCAGCATGGTGGGCCCCAGTCAGCCTCTAGCCCTTCAGAGGGTCTTCCAGTGGGGTTCTATGTGTTTTGGCAGGGGATCCTTCTTGGAGATCAGGCTAGGGTCACCAGTTCTATCAAGAGCTAGTGTCTACCCATCCCAGGGAGCCTCCCGGATTCTACCCTGGCTGCAGGGGCCTGTGAGGCCTGTGGGTGCCTCTGTCAGGAGAAAGACATCTGCCTTGTCCCACAGGGCTCTATGGCCTGCCCCGGCGGTGTGGCAAGCTGAAGGACCTATCCAAGTTTGACGCCTCCTTCTTCGGAGTCCACCCCAAGCAAGCCCATACAATGGACCCTCAGATCCGGCTGCTGTTGGAGGTCACCTATGAGGCCATTGTGGACGCAGGTGGGTTGTAGTGGAGCTGCTGGTCTCCTAGCTTCTGCTTTCCAGAGTCTCGTTGACAGGGCACGAGCCAGGCTGGTGGCAAAGCTCTTTCCTACTGTGCTTGAGGCCCTAGGTTCCATCCTGTGTTGCAAAAAAAAGAAAAATATGCAGTGTCCACAATATTTTTTAGGCTCTAAGAACCTCACAAGTGGAGCATGGCCTGGCCCAGCTTCCCTGGTCTTATCTTCATTCTGGCCTAACCTGGGGCCACTGGCTTAGGAGGCAGGGGCGCCTGACAGCCCGTTTCACAATTGTACACTGGCACTGTCCCAGACATGCCCGGGGCCCCAGTTAACTCACTCCCCATGTTTGGTCTTGGGGTAAGGGCAGGACTGACAGTAGAGCAGTGTCAGGGCAGGGTGGCTCAGTTTCTGCTGCCCACACTGTGGCCACTGTACATCTACCCTCCACTGCAGGGTCCCTGTTCAGAGAGGGCCAAGTACTGCCTCCACTCCTCCTCCACTTTTGCTCCTGATAACCCTGCTCCTCTGCCACCCTGTCTCTCCCCAAGGCCTCTGGTCAGTAGATGCTGGCTGGCCCAGAGTTGCCATTAAGGCAGATGGGGTTCACTTGCACATACCCTTAGGTCCATTGCCAACCCGGTGAGGTAAGACTGAGCTGCCTCCACGGTGGCAGAGCAGGCCTTTGCCTCAGGCTTTTCCTGCTGCCCAGGCTCCACCCCGAGGCCTTGGGCACAACTCCCTGGGGGCTGTCCACTGTCCTCTCCTTTCCTAGCCCAGACACTTAGCCTTTGTCTCCTTGTATCTACTTATCTGAGTCTGTGCTGGGGCAAGCTGCCCTTGGAGCTGGGGTGCTCATTGGACAGTAAGCTCCTCAGACCCGCTAAAAGGCCAAGGGATTTGCCTGGGGACAATGGTGTCCTCTGTCCTTCTGGCCGCCACCCAACCTAGGCGTTGGGGACCCACTTGATCCCTGATGCCCCATCTCCTCTGTGTCCTGGTTCTTGCTTTTCAGCCCTACCTTAACTGGCAAGTCCAGGCACCCCCCACCTCTCTGTCCCAATGCCCTGGTAGAACCACCCACACTCCCAGGCCCTTTGAGGCCTGCTGGGCCAGAGCCCCTGCCCGAGCCTGCCAAGCCCAGGGCTGGGTCCTTCCTCTGCAGAGCCATGTTAGAGTGTCAGTTTTGACTCCTACTCCTGCAGGTATCAACCCAGCCTCACTCCGAGGGACGAACACCGGTGTCTGGGTGGGTGTGAGTGGCTCAGAGGCTTCAGAGGCCCTGAGCCGAGATCCAGAGATGCTTGTGGGCTACAGCATGGTGGGCTGCCAGCGTGCAATGATGGCCAACCGCATTTCCTTCTCCTTTGACTTCAAAGGTGGGTTTTTTCGTAGTCTTCTGGGAACTGGGGTGGCTGAGCCTAGTCTTGGGTCTTGGAGGTCCTCACACAGTAGCAGAGGCCCCAGGGGTTTGGGCCAACCCTTCACACGTGTCTGACTCACTGGGGTCGGAAAGGGGCAATGAAGTACTCAGGGCCTGACAGTCACACCTTCTTGTACGATGTCCACAGGGCCCAGCGTCGCCCTGGACACAGCCTGCTCCTCTAGCCTGATGGCACTGCAGAATGCCTACGAGGCCATCCGCAGTGGGGTGTGCCCAGCTGCCATCGTGGGTGGCATCAACGTGTTGCTCAAGCCTAACACCTCTGTGCAGTTTATGAAGCTGGGCATGCTCAGCCCCGAGGGCATGTGCAAGTCCTTCGATGAAACAGGTGAGGGCAGCAGGAAGCCTGAGCAAGGCTCCCTTCCATACTGCCTGCCTCTTGCAGCTCCACCTGACACCCTGCAGAGTCCCAGCAGCCCTGGGGTCCCCTTCCCAGAGCAGACAGCATCTTTGAAGTGCTGAGCAGGACACCTCACCCACCACCCATCCTCCTGGGTGGGCTGAGCCCCACTGAGGTGCTTTCTGGCCTAGGGAGTGGATACTGCCGCTCAGAGGCTGTGGTGGCTGTCTTGCTGACCAAGAAGTCCTTGGCCCCACGGGTGTACGCCACTATCCTGAATGCTGGCACCAACACAGATGGTTCCAAGGAACAGGGTGAGCATGGGGGTGGTAGTACCAGGCTGCCGCAGATGAGGTAATGGGGACGCTTAGGCCTTACAGACCCCTGACTCCTACAGGCGTGACGTTCCCCTCTGGAGAAGCCCAGGAGCAGCTCATCCGCTCCCTGTACCTGCCAGCTGGACTAGCGCCAGAATCCCTTGAGTATATCGAAGCCCATGGCACAGGCACCAAGGTGAAGGCCCTGTGTTCCCCACCCCACCCACACTGGCGAGTTCCCTGGCTGGAGCCCTGACTCCACATCCCCTACAGGTGGGAGACCCCCAGGAGCTGAACAGCATCACTCGGGCCCTGTGTACCTCCCGTCAGGACCCACTGCTGATTGGGTCCACGAAGTCCAACATGGGGCACCCAGAGCCTGCCTCGGGGCTTGCGGGTCTGGCCAAGGTAAGTAGCAGAGCAGAACTGATTTGGTGCTGGACAGCCATGCAGAGTAGGCAGCACATACCTATCTTGCCTAGTGGAAGCCAGGTTTGCCACCAGGAGCCCCCATGCTATCTTCCACATTCTGCTGAGCTGAGCTGCTCTTGGGGCCCATCCACAGAAAACTCAGGTGGGGTGGAGGGCAGACAGGAAAGCAGCTGGCCAAACAGGTGGGTGTTTACTTAGCCACCTTGGCTTAGCAGTGGAGATTTTGGAGTCAGGACGGACCAGTGCCCCTTTTGGGGTCCCCTCCTGTACACCTCTGTGTCCTCACTGATTAGCTGGCTGTGCATGAGGACTGGTATGGTAGCCTAGAGGATTTACCATCCTTTGGCTTATGCTCAAGCCTGCAGCCCTTCCATCTGGTGTCCACATACACCTGGGAAGTGACAGGGACCCTGGTGAACCCAAAGGCCCAGGGGCAAGGATCCATGCCAAACACCTCATTGCTTGGTGCTAGGCTGAGGACAACCACTGGTCCCCTGTGGTGGCTGAGCCCTGCAGGGTCAGCTGCCCACCTGCATGTACTCTGGCTACAGGTTCTGCTATGCCTGGAGCATGGGCTCTGGGCCCCCAACCTGCACTTCCACACCCCCAACTCTGAGATCCCAGCCCTGACTGACGGGCGGCTGCAGGTGGTGGACCGGCCTCTGCCTGTTCGCGGTGGCAACGTGAGCATCAATTCTTTTGGCTTTGGAGGCTCCAACGTGCACGTCATCCTCCAGCCCAACAAGAAGCAGCCCCCTGCACCTGCCCCTGATGCAGCCCTGCCTCGCCTGCTGCGGGCCAGCGGGCGGACCCTAGAGGCTGTGCAGAGCCTGCTGGAACAGGGTTGCCAGCACAACCAGGACCTAGCCTTTGTGAGCATGCTCAATGACATTGCAGCCACCCCACCATCAGCCATGCCCTTCAGGGGTTATGCCGTGCTGGGTGTGGAGGGTGGTGGCCAGGAAGTGCAGCAGGTGCCTTCGGGCAAGCGCCCACTCTGGTTCATTTGCTCAGGTAAGCCCGAACCTGCACCCACACCCTCAGTGGCTCCCCAAGGTCCAGCCCCTCTGTTGAAGGGTGAAGGGCAGGTTGGCACTGGCCAAGTTACTGTTACTCTTTGACACAGGGATGGGCACACAATGGTATGGGATGGGAGTGAGCCTCATGCGTCTGAATGGCTTCCGTGACTCCATCCTGCGCTCTGATGAGGCCCTGAAGCCAGTTGGACTGAAGGTGTCCAATTTGGTGCTGAGCACAGAGGAAAACACCTATGATGATGTCGTCCACGCTCTTGTGAGCCTCACTGCCATCCAGGTGAGTACCTGCCTGGTGTTAGGCCCTGGGGCACTCCTGTCATCAGAGCCTCTCGCGCTGCAGTGACTGTGGTCTGTCCAGCTCATGGGCATGGGGTCTGAGGCAGAAGAGGGCTTCTCTTATGCCTAGCAGGAAGACCTCAGAGGCTGGCATAACGGCAGGTGGCCTGGGAGACCAAAGGGGCTGGGCAGGGTAGCCCAGAGGCCAGTGTGATGTGTCCTTTCCCTGTCTACAGATTGCTCTCTTAGACCTGCTAACCTCTGTGGGCCTTAAACCTGATGGGATCATCGGGCACTCGCTGGGGGAAGTGGCCTGTGCCTATGCCGATGGCTGTGTCTCCCAGGAGGAGGCTGTGCTTGCAGCCTACTGGAGAGGCCAATGTGTCAAGGAAGCCAGCCTCCCATCAGGCACCATGGCTGCTGTGGGTAGGCATCAACCTGTGACCCCCTCAACTCCTCCATAGACCCCTAGGCCCCTTGGAAAGAGGCTTCTGGCACTTCCAAAAGGGGAATGGGTTGCCCACCCCCACCCCACCCCCCGGAGGCCGTGCTGCCCAGATAGCTGTGTGGAAGTTCCCAGGGCCAGTAGGCTTTCTGACAGTCCACTTACAAGATACTGGCTGGTAATAGCTTGTTCCTCTGCCACCTGTGAGGCCCATTAGGGCAGGGTGGTGAGGCCCAGGCCCCTGTAGTCCCTCTAGGATCACTGTCAGGGACTGGCCTCAGGAGTCACCCCCATAATAACCCCTCTGCCTGGAAGCAAAGGAGACGGGTGAAAGCGGCTTGAGAAGGTTCTTGGAGGCTGTCATTAGACTCTCTCTGTCATTAAGGCCAGTGCTCCTGGCTCCACACTGTGCCCACAACTGCATCCTCTCTGGTCAGAAAGAGTAGTTGGTGGGAGCTCAGGCTGTCCTCTGAGACCAGTTCTGCTCACAGGCTTGTCCTGGGAGGAGTGTAAACAGCGTTGTCCCCCTGGCATCGTCCCCGCCTGCCACAACTCTGAGGACACAGTGACCATCTCCGGACCTCAGGTGGGCCTGCCTTCAGGGATGAGGTGGCCCTGTGAGGCTTCAGTCTGTACCTATCAAGTTCTGAGAGGCCTTGACCTAAGCCACACTTGTCACCAGACCTGTCCCTGCCCTCTCAGGTGGGCTCCCCTCCCTGCCCTGCCCCATAACCTGAGCTTGGTAGATGGAACTGGGTGCGTGCCCAACCAGGCAAGCCAGGCCAGGGCCCCTCTCATCTCTCCTGATGCCCCAGGCTGCAGTGAGCAAGTTCGTGGAGCAGCTGAAGCAGGAAGGAGTGTTCGCCAAGGAGGTGCAGACAGGCGGCATCGCCTTCCACTCCTATTTCATGGAGGCTATTGCACCCACGCTGCTGCTTGCGCTCAAGAAGGTGGGTGCCCGTGGTGTGCACAAGGCCCCATGGGAGCCAAAGAGCTGCACCACCTGTGCTGACCCTGCTCCTGTGTGCAGGTGATCCGGGCCCCGCAGCCGCGCTCTGCCCGCTGGCTCAGCACTTCCATCCCTGAGGCCCATTGGCAGAGCACCCTGGCCCACACCTTCTCTGCGGAATATAATGTCAACAACCTGGTGAGCCCAGTGCTATTCCAGGAGGCTCTGCGCCACATCCCTGAGGATGCTGTGGTGGTGGAGATTGCACCCCACGCCCTACTGCAGGTGCACACTGGGCTATGGGTGGACTGGCATTGACAGCAGGGAAGAAGTGGTAGGGAGCCCTCTAACCTCTGCCTGCCTGCAGGCTGTCCTGAAGCGGGGCCTGAAGCCCAGCTGCACCATTGTACCCCTGATGAAGAGGGACCACAAGAACAACCTTGAGTTCTTCCTTACCAACATTGGGAAGCTCCACCTTGCAGGGTGAGCCCCCAGAGTTGCAGTGGTATGGGCAGGTGGCCTGTGGGAATCAGGTAGCTGAACCAAGTACCTTGGTGGCATTCTAGCTGTGGGCCTCCCCCTTTTTCCTTTGGACCCTACCCCCAAGCCAGATAGCTATTGCTGCTCACCCCCCCTTTCCCCACACCAGCATTGACGTCAACCCTAATGGCTTACTACCTCCTGTGGAGTTCCCAGCACCCCGAGGAACCCCCCTCATCTCCCCTCACATCAAGTGGGACCACAGCCAGACCTGGGATGTACCAGCTGCAGAGGATTTCCCAAATGGCTCAAGCTCCTCCTCCGCCACCATCTACAACATTGGTGAGGGCCCAGAGGTGGGTGGATGGACCTTTCCTTATTGGACCTGTTGGCATACAGGCCCTGAGGCTTGTTTTTGCCTACAGATACCAGTCCCGAGTCCCCTGATCACTACCTGGTAGACCACTGCATTGATGGCCGTGTCCTCTTCCCTGCCACTGGCTACTTGTTCCTCGTCTGGAAGACTCTGGCTCGCAGCCTTAGCCTAGCCGTAGAGCAGACACCTGTGGTGTTTGAGGGTGTGACACTGCACCAGGCCACCATCCTGCCCAAGACAGGTGAGGGCGCTGTCGGGTGGGGACAGCTGGAGGGTCCACAGCCAGGCTCTGACCTTGGTGCTCTACAGGTACCGTACCCCTGGAGGTGCGGCTTCTGGAGGCTGCCCACACTTTTGAAGTGTCTCACAATGGCAACCTGTTAGTGAGCGGTGAGTGAAGCTGCCCACCAGGGGCTGGGGCATGTCAATTCAGCCAGCTGCCCAGTGCTCAGGCTCTCCTGCCACCCCTGCCCACAGGGAAGGTGTACCAGTGGGAGGACCCCAACCCCAAGCTCTTCGACTACCCAGAAGGCCTGAGTCCCAGGGAGCCTGTGTCCACTCTCTGCCTATCTCCATTGGATGTGTACAAGGAGCTGCGGCTGCGTGGTTATGACTATGGCCCTCACTTCCAGGGCATCTTCGAGGCCAGCCCCAGAGGTGGGCATGCACACCCCATCATCATTGCATAGACACCAGAGTCCTGACTGCTATGGCTGTCACTGGCAGTATGAGGTGGAGTAGATAGTCCAGGGCTCTGACCAAGGTCCTCCCTCAGGTGAACAGGGCAAGCTGCTCTGGAAAGACAACTGGGTGACTTTCCTGGACACCATGCTGCAGATTACCATCCTTAACAGCAACCAGCGCAGCCTGTGTCTGCCCACCCGCTTCACTGACCTGCGTATCGACCCTACTGTCCACCTGCAGAAGGTGCAGGTGCTGCCAGATAAGACCCAAGGTAAAAAAAATAAAGACCCAAGGTAGTCTTACTGCACCCTTGCCCCAATGCCTACATCCTGCCCAGTGCTGCCCTCACTCACCTGCCTGTCCCCACAGTGGTTGACGTTGTGGTGAGCTCCACTCTGAGCACAATAGTGGCCGGTGGTGTCCACATCATGCAGCTACACACAACATCAGCCCCACGGCGGCAGCAGGAGAACATGGTGCCCACCCTGGAGAAGTTCTGCTTCACACCTCACATGGAGGCAGGGTGCCTGTCTGAGAATATGGCCCTGCAGGAGGAGCTGCAGCTGTGCAAGGGTGAGACGTCATCCTGGCCTCGCGAGATGCCAGCCAGGAGCTGCCTCTCCATGCCGACCCCACACCTGCCTTTCTCTCCTCCCCGTGCGCGCCCCCACCCCACCCCCAGTTTGCATGGCTGTGAACTGTCCTAGTCTCTGCAAGGGGCTTTAAGGCCTCATTTGCCACAATGGGCCATGCACTAGTTTGAAGGAATTGATCCCCACCGCCTGCCCTCGGCTAGTCCCTGGGTCCTTCAGCCGTCGGCTTGTCCTCTGGGCTCTGGGTGGTAGCTGGGCAACTCAAACTCAAGTCTTTCTCTCCTCCCCAGGGATGGCACAAGCACTGCAGACCAAGGCAGCCCAACAGGGGCTGAAGATGGTGGTGCCTGAGCTGGATAGAACCCTAACACCCCAAGAAGCCCTGCAGCAGGGACTGCCCCGACTGCTGGCAGCTGCCTGTCAGCTGCAGCTAAATGGGAACCTGCAGCAGGCACTGGCACAGGAGAGAGCTCTGCTGCCCGAGGACCCTCTCCTCAGTGGCCTCCTTAACTCCCCAGCACTCAAGGCCTGCTTGGACACAGCCCTGGAGAACCTGCCTAGCCTGAAAATGAAGGTGGTAGAGGTGGGTGCCAGGTAGAGCCGCAGGACCAGGGAAGCTGCGCTCACAGTCCTTGGGCTGCCGTGCATCTCTCTTAGTAATTGTAAGATAATTCACCCAGCAGCCGGGCAGGAAGGTCAGGCTGAGGAGGGGCTCATGTGTGTGGTCTGTTCAGTCCCTACAGCCATCCTGAGAAGCCCTGGGCTCTGGTGTCAGGGAAGCCACAGTTAGACTGTGGAATAGGTGACCACCCTGCCCCAGGGACTTTCACAGAGCCCAAGATGTGGACCCTTGTTCAGCAGCAGCTGACCCAAGAACCTGTTCCTTTGCTGCAGGTGCTTGCTGGCGATGGTCACCTGTACACGCGCATCCCAGCCCTGCTCAACACCCACCCCATGCTGCAGCTGGACTACACAGCCACTGACCGCCATCCCCAGGCACTGGAGGCTGCCCAGGACAAGCTACACCAACATGAGGTTGCCCAGGGCCAGTGGGACCCAGTGGAACCTGCCCCCAGCAGCCTGGGTACAGTGGACCTCCTGGTGTGCAACAGTGCTGTGGCCACTCTGGGGGACCCGGCCCTGGCCCTGGCTAACATGGCAGCTGCCCTCAAGGAGGGCGGCTTTCTGCTGCTGCACACTGTGCTCAGAGAACACACCCTTGGGGAGATGCTGGCCTTCCTCACCTCGGAACCACAGAACGGGCCCAGCCTCCTGAGCCAGGTCCCACTGCTGGATTCGGGACTGGGTGGGGGTGGTGGGGGCCTGAGCTGGCAGGTGCTGACACCCAGTACCCCCTCAGGATGAGTGGGAGAGTCTGTTCTCGAAGACAGCACTGCGCCTGGTGGGCCTGAAAACATCATTCTATGGCTCTGCGATCTTCTTGTGCCGCCGGCCTGCCCCACAGGACAGCCCTATCTTCCTTCCTGTAGAGGACACCAGCTTCCGATGGGTGGACTCTCTAAAGGTCTGGCCCTGGAACTGGCTGCCCTGCCCTAGCACAGCCTGGAGACTACCCAGCAGCTGACCCTTGCCTTGCCCTACAGGATATTCTGGCTGAGGCATCCCCCCGGCCTGTGTGGCTGACGGCCCTGGGCTGCCCCACTTCAGGTGTGGTGGGCATGGTGAATTGTCTCCGCAAAGAGCCTGGCGGGCACCGGATTCGGTAGGAGGGATACCCACTGAGCTGTGCCACTGTCTGTCCCTCCCTACCCGTGCCTTCCTTCGGCTCCTCACTGCCTCTGCTTCTTGCAGGTGCATCCTGCTGTCCAATCTCAGCAGCATGTCTCGTGTCCCCAAGATGGACCCTGGCTCTGCAGAGCTGCAGAAGGTGCTAGAGGGCGACCTGGTGATGAATGTATACCGTGATGGGACCTGGGGTGCCTTCCGCCATTTTCTTCTGGAGCAGGGTGAGCCCACAGTACTTCCTGTCCTTTTCGGGCTGAGGCAGGTGGGAACCTGGCCAGCTGGACCCTGTGGCAGCCCTGTTTCTGTTCCCGCAGACAAGCCCAAGGAGCAGACAGCACATGCCTTTGTGAATGTCTTGACTCGTGGCGACCTTTCCTCCATCCACTGGGTCTGTTCCCCACTGAAGTATGCCCGGCCCATCAGCCCAGAAATGCAGCTGTGTACTGTGTACTATGCCTCACTCAACTTCCGGGACATCATGCTGGCCACGGGCAAGCTGTCCCCTGACGCCATCCCAGGTGCCAGCCAAGACGCTTTGTGGGTGTAGGGCAGGCCAGGGCAGCCCCTCCTGAGAATGAAAGGGAAATGTGGCACCACCATCAGGCTCACCTTTATCTGCTCCCAGGGAAATCGCTTAACCGGGACTGCTTGCTGGGCATGGAGTTCTCGGGGCGTGATGCACGAGGCCGGCGTGTGATGGGGCTGGTGCCCTCTGAAGGCCTGGCCACTTCTGTCCTACTGCCATCAACCTTCCTCTGGGATGTGCCCTCCAGTTGGTGAGTGGGCTGGGCTGCAGGTAGAGACCCTGCAGGATGTTGTGTGGTAGCCAGACCTGGCTAACTCTGCACTGTGTCTTCAGGACACTGGAGGAGGCAGCCTCTGTGCCCGTCGTCTACAGTACTGCCTACTATGCACTTGTGGCCCGGGGACGCATGAAGCATGGAGAGACAGTGCTTATCCACTCAGGCTCAGGCGGGGTGGGCCAGGCCTCAATTGCCATTGCCCTCAGCCTGGGCTGCCGTGTCTTTACCACCGTAGGTAAGGTCCCACCCTTCCCTGTGTGCCCTGGCCCCCAAGGCCCACCTGGCCTACAACCTACCTGGCACCTTGCCCTACAGGCTCAGCTGAGAAGCGGGCCTACCTCAAGGCCAGGTTCCCCCAGCTTGATGACACCAGCTTCGCCAACTCAAGGGACACGTCTTTTGAACAGCATGTGATGCTACACACAGGCGGGAAGGGTGAGTGCTGTCCTGAGCCCCCTACCCCAGGAGATTTGGTCCATCGGGTGGGGGCTCTGGGGAACAGTGGTGTGACCCTAAGGCCCTGTCTCCCTGCCTAGGCGTTGACTTGGTCCTCAACTCCCTGGCGGAAGAGAAGTTGCAGGCCAGCGTAAGGTGCCTGGCTCAGCATGGCCGCTTCCTGGAAATTGGCAAATTTGACCTTTCTAACAACCACCCATTAGGTGAGGCAGGCAGCACCTGGGGTAGGCAGTGGCTGGCAAGCCCCCTGTTGGGCAGCTCCTCTAATGAATATGGCCTCCTGCCCAGGCATGGGCATTTTCCTGAAGAACGTCACCTTCCACGGGATCCTGCTGGATGCACTCATGGAGGAAAACAACCCCCAGTGGCAAGAGGTGTCGGCCCTCCTTCAGGCTGGCATCCGTGATGGGGTGGTGCAGCCCCTTAAGTGCACTGTGTTTCCCAAGGCCAAGGTGGAAGATGCCTTCCGCTACATGGCCCAGGGGAAGCACATTGGCAAAGTCCTTGTCCAGGTGAGGGGGAGCACCCACATCCCCTGGCTCCAGCTGCCCAGTGGCTCTGGCCCTCATGGAGCGTCTGAGTGACTCCTGCTTGGCCACAGGTACACGAGGAAGAGCGAGAATGCAGCCTGCAGGGAGCACAGCCAGTCCCCATGGTTGCCATCTCCAAGACATTCTGTCCATCTCATAAGACCTATATCATCACGGGCGGCCTGGGCGGCTTTGGCCTTGAACTGGCAGAGTGGCTGCTGCTTCGAGGGGCCCAGAAGCTTGTGTTGACCTCTCGCTCTGGGATTCGCACAGGTGGGCAGGCGAGGGTGTGTAGGGGGCCAGCCTGGATGAGTGAGGGGCGCACACCCATCCTTCCTGGAGGCTGCACCTCTCTCCCCACCCATCCTAGCCCCAAGCCCCATGTCCCACAGGATACCAGGCCAAGCAGGTCAGTGACTGGAGGACCCGGGGTGTCCAAGTACTAGTGTCCACCCGAGACGCCAGCTCCCTGGAGGGAGCTCGTGCCCTCATCGCAGAGGCCTCGCAGCTCGGGCCAATTGGAGGCATCTTTAACCTGGCTGTGGTAAGGGAGGGATTCTTGTACCCCTGCCCTCCAAAACCAAGACCAGGGTGACAATAGCAGGGTTAGATGGAGGCCCAGCAGGTACTGAGGATGCCTATCCCCAGGTCTTGAGGGATGCCATGCTGGAGAACCAGACCCCAGAGCAGTTCCAGGATGTAAACAGACCTAAGTACAGTGGCACCCTGAACTTGGACAGGTAGGTCAGCACCGCCACCACCACCCCACACTGGCCTCTGCTGGGGTCTTTGGAGAACCAGGGAGCCCAGGCAGCAGCCTTCTCTGGCCAATTCCAGGGGAGGTGTGGGCAAGATGGGGTCTGGGCATGACAGTTGGCAGAGAGTGATGGGAGTGCCCACAGGGTGACCCGGGAAGCCTGCCCTGAGCTGGACTACTTTGTGGCCTTCTCCTCGGTGAGCTGTGGCCGTGGCAATATGGGCCAGAGCAACTACGGATTCGCCAACTCCACCATGGAGCGCATCTGTGAGCAGCGCCGGCATGATGGCCTCCCAGGTAGGCCCTGCCACTGCCCCCCGCCATCTACCTGTGTACCCAGAGCCCTCACTTACCAACCTCATACCCTTGCCACAGGCCTTGCTGTGCAGTGGGGTGCCATTGGTGACGTGGGCATTTTGCTGGACATGATGGGGAAGAGTGACACAGCCGTGGGTGGCACACTGCCCCAGCGCATTGCCTCCTGCCTGGAAGTGCTGGACCTCTTCCTGCAGCAGCCCCATGCAGTCCTCAGCAGCTTTGTGCTGGCTGAGAAGGCAGCAGCCCGTAAGGACAGCAAAGGACAACAGGACCTGGTACAGGCGGTGGCACACATTCTTGGTGAGCACTGTGTGGACTCTCCCCTAAAGGCCTTGTCCCAAGGTGGGCCTTGGCAAGACCTAGTTTCCCCAACTGTAGAAGGAATGAGTCACCGTTAGATATAGTAATCTATAGGGCTGGGCAAGATGCTGTGTGCTGACTGGCAGTTACGCTGCAGTTGGCGAAGGTGCACAGATCAGCCCCGAGCCATGGCACCTCTCATCTCAGCCTGGTGCCCACCCACACCAGCCCACCCCAGGCGCTCTGGAATGGTGCTCCATACTTCCCTCCCCAGGCATCCGTGATCTGGCTGGAATCAACATGGACACCTCACTTGCGGACCTGGGTCTGGACTCGCTCATGGGCGTGGAGGTGCGCCAGACCCTGGAGCGCGAGTTTGACCTGGTGCTATCTATGCGTGAGGTGCGGCAGCTCACACTGCAGAAGCTTCAGGAGCTGTCCTCCAAGCCTGGCCCAGCCAGTGGTGCGTGCAGGGTGATAGTCGGGGAGAGGGTGGCAGCAGGGGATGCTCAATGTACACATGTGGGAGCCAGCCTGACATCTGCTCTGTCCTTGCAGAGCTGGCGTCCCCCAAGGCCAAGGAGGGCATCCAGACCCGGCCACAGGCCCAGCTGAACCTGAGTACGCTTCTGGTGAACCCTGAGGGCCCCACCTTGACACGGCTCAACTCAGTGCAGAGTGCTGAACGGCCACTCTTCCTGGTGCACCCCATCGAGGGCTCTACCACTGTGTTCCACAACCTGGCTGCCAAGCTCAGCGTGCCGACCTATGGCCTGCAGTGCACCCAAGGTACATGTCTACACCTCTTGGGGTGGTCCCAGCTCAAGGTACCCCTCCCTGCTTGCTGAGCACCCAGTGCCACTGTTGCAGCTGCCCCACTGGACAGCATCCAGAGCCTGGCCGCCTACTACATCGACTGCATCAAGCAGGTACAGCCTGAGGGGCCCTACCGTGTGGCTGGCTACTCCTATGGTGCCTGTGTAGCCTTCGAGATGTGCTCCCAGCTGCAGGCCCAGCAGGGGCCAGCCCCCGCCAACAATAGCCTTTTCCTGTTTGATGGCTCGCACACCTATGTGCTGGCATACACCCAGGTAAGCCAGTTGGTGGGATCGCCCCATTGTCCAGCTCTTGGAGGGCCACTCCTGTGCTACAGCCACTGCCCTCCTCCCCTGTAGAGCTATCGTGCGAAGATGACCCCAGGCTGTGAGGCAGAGGCCGAGGCGGAGGCCATATGCTTCTTCGTGCAGCAGTTCACTGATGCTGAGCACAACAGGGTGAGTCGGGTTTGGACAGGTTGAGGTCAGGCTCTCTGACCCTGTGACACGGCTGGGGTCGAGCGGGCTTTGCTCCCACACTCAAGAGCCTCTCTTGTAGGTACTGGAGGCACTGCTACCACTAAAGGGCTTGGAGGACCGTGTGGCTGCCGCTGTGGACCTCATCACCCAGAGCCACCAGGGCCTGAGTCGCCGGGAGCTGAGCTTTGCCGCTCTGTCCTTCTACCACAAGCTGCGTGCAATCGAGCAGTACACACCTAAGGCCAAGTACCACGGCAATGTGACACTGCTCCGGGCCAAGACCGGAGGCGCCTATGGTGAGGATCTAGGTGCTGACTACAACCTCTCACAGGTGAGCAAGGAGGCAACACCCAGGGCCGGTGGCCAGATATGGTCTTGTCATGATACCTGGCTCACACAGTCACTGCCCGCAGGTGTGTGATGGGAAGGTGTCTGTGCATGTCATCGAGGGTGACCACCGCACACTGCTAGAGGGCAGTGGCCTGGAGTCCATCATCAGCATCATCCACAGCTCTTTGGCTGAGCCTCGTGTGAGTGTGCGGGAAGGCTAGGCTCCCAGCCACTGCTGGGCCCATCACCAGGGACCATGCCGACACCCCACACCCATTCCTGGTGTGCAGGGGCTGGGGAAGGTCCCGCTGGTGGAACCTGCCCACGGCCTAGTACCACCACCTCCCCTGGGGGCTGCTAAAGTAGGACTGTGACACATGTCCCATCTACCCGCCACATCCTAGTGGGCACCAGGGGACCCCAGAGCTGCTGACTCAGAGACACTTTTGGTCTGTGAAGAGCCAGTGGGACCGGCAGAGCCGGGCTGAGCCTTTTGTACCATGTGGAGTTGGCCACGCTGGTTGGTTATTGTTTCTCCATTTAGATTCTCATATTTATTACATTCCTGGGAAAGACCCCCAGGGCTGGTCCCCATCCTGTGAAGATGGCAGGCTCCTGGGGGGCACCACACCTTCTCTTTCTACTGTGCACATGTGCTGCCCAGGCCTGCCGGCAGGGGTCCCATCAACCAGACCCTGCTCCTGCTTACTGCAAGGAGGGCTGGTCCCTGGGTCCCCAGTTCCCGGCTGCACCCATGATGTAGGGCCAACCTGGCCCCGCGGACCGCACCGGGCACCAACCTGCATTTGTGTTTGTTTTACGATACACAATTCAAATTGCTGCTTAGATTTTGAATTTGATGTAACTGTCAGTGTAAAGAACCATGTCTAGATCTTGTTTCATTTTTACACCAACTTGATAAAAATGCTGCTCTTGATCCCATCCCCTGAGCCTCCCCACTATTAAAGCGCACGTGAGCTCCAGCTCTGGCTAAGTTCCTTTCTTCTTTCCTGACCTGCAATATGGGGTGCAGTGCCATCCTGCCATGGGTCCCCACCATGGCTCTCACATGAATGCCTGGTTGTGCGTCTGGGCTCCCCCAGGGAAAGGGATGCAGGCCAGAGCTGGCCGGGCACCCCTGAAGCATGGAGTAGGAGTGGGCCCGTGTAAGAGGCAGAGTGTCCTCCCAGATGGGTACCAAGGCGTTGGCCATCGTGTGTGGGGCTGAGAGGCAGGATTGTCTCCCTGGGGACTGTTCTGAAGGCACAGCTGATGGGACAGGGCCCTGTACGGATAACACTTGCCTTTCCTCAGTCAGCCAGCCGGGTACCACCTACCAGCACCTTGCTACTATGGGAAGGAAGTCCTCAAAAGAGGATGTCACAGCATGGCTCCCGTGTCCTGGCTAAGTGAGACACTCTGGGGAGGAAGCTAGGTGGAGTTTGGGTGGGAGGAAATGGGGTCAGAGGGCCCTGAGCACCTGAACCCCAAGAGTCAAGGGTCAGAGGTGGCTGGAGACCTAGAGAGGGCAGAGAGCAGCTGCCCATGCGTGTGTGGACTGGGAGGCACTGAGGCTGGTCAAGAACTGTGAAATTTACCGGGAAGTGTGGGCCTTCCTTGCCCCTGGAAATAGTGTCTGCCAGAAGGAAAGTTTCTTGATTTATCAGGCACTGAGTACCCAAAAATTGGAAATAATTACCCAAAATTAACTAACTAGTTACTAGTTAGCTCTGGTCCCACCTGAAAAGAAAAAAATTCTCACCAGGGATGGCGGTACACCCCTGTCATCCCAGTGCTTAGGAGGCTGAGGCAGTTGGATTGCTTTCAAAACCAGCCCGAACTGTCTCAAAAAAACAAAAGTAGGGCTTGCAAGATAGCTCAATGGACTAAGCACCTGCTTAGGCAAGCGCAGAGACCAGGGTTTGATCCCTGGCATCACATGCTGCACAGCTCTGCCCCTGGGAGTACTGAGCCACCAAGACTGGGGTGGTGGCACACGCCTGTAATCCCAGCACTGGGGAGGTTAAAAACTGGAGGATCTCTCCGGGTCCCAGCTGCATAATGAGACCCTGTACCAAATAAATGTAAAAAGTAAAACCTCTCAGCTCAGAATTCTGTCCAGCAAAAGTATTTAGAAATGAAGGGGAGATCATGACATTCTCAGATAAAGACAATTTGGTACTGTTATGGGTCACTTGGAATAGGAACCAGATCAGAAGCCAGATTGGAATTTGTAAGAGTATTACTGAGCTCAGGGCTGCCAGAAGTTGCTCACGCAGAAGACCAACAACGGCACCTAGCCCGTGAAGCAAGGAGCTTTTAAAACGAAAGTCACGTGACCAAGGGGTCTCACAGTTCGACAGTATGCACAACTTGCCTGTGTGGGGGCTTGTTGAGCAAGCCACTTTTACAAGACACATCTTAAACTCACTACGAAGTGCCCGGCTAGCTCAGTCGGTAGAGCATGAGACAAACTCACTACGTTTACAGGAATTAGATTAGGGAGTGGAGGGAGACAGTTACTCGGTTACTCATTATTAAACAGCCTTGAACAGAGCGTGAGGACACATTTCTTAGAGTAGATAACAGAAGCATAAGGGAACCAAATAGTTTTCCATAGTTACAGCTCAAAATTCACTTGACCCATTACAGTTACCAGTAAGAAAATTTTGTTACCTACCCTGACAGGGCAGTTGAAGGAAGTTCTCCAAACTAATAAAAGGACTTGGAAGAAAGTCAGATAAAAACTACAACTCTGTCTATACAATTCTAAATGTACGTAGAGGAGTACTTAAAAGGACTATAGAGCCGGGGAAATAGCTCAGTAGAATAAGCGCAAGGGCCTGAGTTCAATCCCCGGCTCTGCAA